ACATAAAAGCATAAACACAGAACTCTCACTCCAGGAATTAATTCCTTTAAAGCCTCATTCACCTGAAAGCCCAGACCAACCATATCAGACTTGCTCTGTCTTACCCAGCCTTGAGAGGAAATTAATTTCATTTTTAAATCCTGCCTTTGGATGAGACCAGGAACAATTCCAAAGCCTCTGGTAAATATTTCCCAGCATCTTCCTGGGGAAAGACTGAGGGACCCCGAGGCCAAACTCCCTCCTGCTTTATCCTGTGTGCAGTGGGCCCAGCTCAGGCAGCTGCCTCAGGAAGTCCTTGGCTTAAAATTGTGCCCCCTGCTTCCCACGGGACCTGGTTTGGATCACAGGGATGATTCCATGTCCTGGAAGAGTGAATTCACCTGCTGGGAGAAGGTTTGGATTCCCTGGGTGATCAGTGACCACCCTGTGTTCAGCCAATCCTACAAATACCCCCACTAATTAACATCCCAATTAACACCCTCCTTATTTTAATGAACACTCAATCCCTTTATCTCGTCTTTTTTTCCCACTTTAAGTGACCCTGTGGATGTGGATCACGGCCCAGTACACACAGAGCATCGCAAACCCACAGCCAGCAGTGTGGAGAAATTAATATCTTAATCTCATAAAGATTTTTAAATATTAATTTAAGCTGCTGAGGATGGATTATGGACTCAGAAACCAATCAGCATTTCCCCCTAAATAACTCTTAAATAGGAGAAATATGTCTGGTGTGGGAGAATCAACGTTCCATTGCTAAGAGGCCTGACTGCCATGGGAATATTTCTGGGCTCCTGACACCTCATTAACTTATTTAACAACATCCCAACTTATTGTGCTGTCCAGCGACCACAGAAATTCTTAAAATTAAGCAGAGAAAGAGAAAAATAAAAACAGGCATTTATCAGCCTCCCAACAGGAAAGGACACACCAAGGAAATGCAAAATATGGGAGAACAGAGGGTTGCAACACAGAGCAAATTCCAAATCTGCCCGTGAGTTCCACAGGGAATAAATATGCAATTATCCCAGTCCTAGTGGGCACAGAAAGTCTGCACAGAAAGCCTGGTCTGGCTGCTTCAGATTTTGTCTCCAGAGAGAGAATCTCCAGTCCTTGGAGCATCTCCGTGACCTCCTCAGGACTTGCTCCAGAGCTTCTCTGTGCCAGGGCCTCCCCACCCTCCCAGCCAGGAATTCCCAGTTCCCAATGTCCCACCCATCCCTGCCCTCTGGCACTGGGAGCCATTCCCTGGCTCCTGTCCCTCCATCCTTGTCCCCAGTCCCTCTGCAGCTCTCCTGGAGCCCCTGCAGGCCCTGCCAGGGGCTCTGAGCTCTGCCTGGAGCCTTCCCTTCTCCAGGGGAGCATTCCCAGCTCTCCCAGCCTGGCTCCAGAGGGTTCCAGCCCTGCAGCAGCTCCTGGCTCCTCTGGGCTCTCTCCAGCAGCTCCAGGTCCCTCTGGACATCCCCGAGCTGGAAGATCATGATTATACCTGGAATTCTTCCTGGTCCCTCCTGTGCTGGGGCACCTCTGCAGGTTGGGTCTCACCTGAGGGGGCAGAGGGACACAATCCCAATCCCTGTCCTGCTGCCCAAGCCGTGGGATCATCCCAGGCCATGGGGAATTCTGGGTCCCACGTGGCTGGGCCATGTCCGGATTTTCCTCCACTGACACCCCAGGTCCTTCTCCTCAGGGCTACTCTCCATCCCTTCCCACCCAGCTGGATCTGTGCTGGCATTCCCTGATCCCTGTGCAGGACTTGGCCCTGTTGAACCTCAGGAGCTTCCCATGGATCCACCTCTCCATGTCCCTCTGGATTTCAGGAGCTGCCCCTCCACTTCCCTCCCTGAGATTACAGCTCTATCCACCCACCAAAATTCTATTTATTATTCTCTTTTATCACCCAGAAATGGGTTTAAAGCTGAATAAAACATTCCAAATTAAATATTTTCTCTGCCAGCAGCAGAAGTGGCGACGTGACTCGGTCCCCACAGCAGAGCAGGACAAAACCCATTAGTCCTTGATTACTGTGCAGGTAATAAAGGAGTTTTACAAGGAAAGGTCTGTGCAGGGCAAAGCCAAATTATTGCTGAGCAGCCTCAGAGCCCTGTGAGGCTGTCTCTTAAAACAAACCATTAACATATGCACAATTAGGCTGCCTCAATTGTTATGCCACAAGCAAAAATAAAATCCCATCTTGGAATATCTAAACAGCCTTTTAATTCCAGCGAGCTGGCGGGGGGAAAAATGTGTTAGCATTAAAGGAATGTGTTTTTTTAATCACATCTAAAAATAACATTTACATAACCACCTACCCTGACATTTCACATCAGCAAGTGTCCAGAACCGCCTCGCTCAGCTGTATTAAAATATGCAAACACCACAGGGTTTTAGCAGATTTTGGTTTCCTGAAAAAGAATTGCAGAACTCCCAACTTTGGAGGCAAGAGGGAAGTCAGAGTGCTTTCTGCTGTGGTGAAAATAAATCAGGTACAGTGTGTTCTTCAGCAGGTCAGTGACAGCCAGTGCCTGGGTAATTCAGTCATGGAATCGTGGAATGGTTTGGGTTGGAAGCGACCTTTGCTAAAAGGTGTTTCTTCTTAGGATCTAAAGATTGCCCAGAGCAGCTGAGGCTGCCCCTGCATCCCTGGAAATGTCCCAGGCCAGGCTGGATGGGGCTTGGAGCAGCCTGGGACAGGGGGAGTGTCCCTGTGCATGGAAGGAGGTGGAATGGGATGATCTCTCTGGGTGTGCACTCATGAAAAAAAATCCCTGGATTTGTGGATCCGTGAGGAAGACTTTGGAGCAGGTGGAGAATGAAGAGCAGATTCCATTCCAGCTCTGTAGGACAATACAGCTGTGTTTCTGACTTCTTCCAGCCCCAGTTCTGCTCCTGCTCCAGCTCAGAAAGTGCAGGATGCTCTCTGGGAACAACTCTGAGATGCAGGGAAGCTGGAATGGGAATTCAGTGGTGTTTGACAAGGACCCAGAAACCCAGTTACCATCAAAGAATTTGTAAAACCTTCCCTTTGTGAAATGAGGGTCTGAAGTGTAAGAGAGGTTTGGTTTGAATATTGGGAAGGAATTCCTGGCTGGGAGGGTGGGCAGGCCCTGGCACAGGGTGCCCAGAGCAGCTGGGGCTGCCCTGGATCCCTGGGAATGTCCCAGGCCAGGCTGGAGCAGCCTGGGACAGTGGGAGGTGTCCCTGCCCATGGCAGAGCTGGATTGGGGTGAGATTTAAGGCCCCTTCCAACCCAACCTTCCATGATTTTGAGATTTATCCAAGGATAAGGAGCAGCACATGGGAGTGCTTTGCTTGAAGCCCCTCCTGGTGCAATGCTGCTGCCTCCAAGGAGCATTTCCGAGCTCTCCCCATTCTCTGCCGACTTCCTACAAATCATTTGTTACTGAGATTGATATTGCAGTTATGTAAACATCCATTATTTATCTGCTCTGGCCCTTTGAACCGGATGAGTGCTCCTGGATTTCCATTATTCCGTGTCTAAATTAATCATGGAGCATAAAATCAGTCACCATTTATGCAATATGAAAAGGAAAAAAAGATGTAAAAATAGCTCTCGTGGTGTTGAGATTTCATGCCGTGTTCCCTGGGTAGGAACTATTCAGGCATCTTGCTTTTTCCTGCAGGCCTGTGAAATATTGATGGCTTTTTTAAAAAGGAAAAAAAAACAACTCTGTGAAAATTATCTGTCTCCTCCAGAGAAAGTTGTTCCCTGATCCAGTCATTGACTCCCTCGCCATGGGGAGCACTGCAGAATCCCATCCATGGGCAGCTTCCCATCCTCTGGCAAATCCATGTCCTGCATCCCACAGCAGGCTGGGGCTGGCATCTCCTCCTGGGCACAGCCAGGAGCCCCTGACGCCTTCCTGGGAATGTTTGCACAGACCTGACAGCAGAATCGCACAGGGCAGCAGGGAAGTGTGACATGGGGAGCTCCAGGGGGATCTGACAGCCTGCTCCAGGAAAGCTGGCTCATCCCTGCTGGGTTTGAACAGGAATTATCACTTCTCCAAAGCCAAATGGGCCCTGCCACCCCCACGGAGGGAATGGAGCTGGTTGGGGACTTGGATTCAGCTCCAGGCACTTCATGGAAGCCCAGAAGGGTTTGGGTTGGAAGAGACCTTAAAGTTCATCTCATTCCAGCTCTTTGGCCAAGGGCAAAGACACCTTCCACTATCCCAGATTGCTCCTGGCATTGGGCACTGCCAGGGATCCAGGGGCAGCCACAGCTTCTCTGGGAATTCCAGCCCAGCCAGGAATTCCCAGTTCCCAATGTCCCACCCATCCCTGCCCTCTGGCAGTGGGAGCCATTCCCTGGCTCCTGTCCCTCCATCCTTGTCCCCAGTCCCTCTGCAGCTCTCCTGGAGCCCCTTCAGGCCCTGCCAGGGGCTCTGAGCTCTGCTTGGAGCCTTCTCCTCTCCAGACATCACCCAAAATTCTGTGTGCTGCTCTGGCCCAGCATCAGGATTTGGGAGACACCATGGAAAGAAGGCGGGGAGGGGTAAGAAAAGGAGATCTTTGGAACAATTCTTTCTCTGCACTGGTTTTTCAGCACTTCGGGGATCCATCCCTTCAGTTTACGGTGTGCGATCAGCAGAATTAAAAAAGAGACCACTGAGAAGCTCAAATTAACATTATCATATAAATAATTGGGCACAAAAAGCTTCTTTTAGGGACGTTTTGGAGACGACCCGTCGGTCCAGGAGAGTGAGATGTTTTTTAATTGGTGACGTTCCCCAAGCTTCAGCAGCCACCTCACAACCTGATCTGAGCCACCAGGAGCCAAAGGCACCATCAGCCTCCTCACACCCCTGTGAGTGAAGGAACAGCCTCTCCTGTGGGAATATCCTGGCAATCTCCTGCAATCTCCCAGCTCAATCCACTCCAGCTAATAATAACTGGCCTTGCTTCCCCTCCAGCAAGCGTGGCTGGAAGGAGGAACCTCTCCAAGCTTTAAATAACTCCTGGATTCCCCCCTCCGGACCTGTGCTCCAGCTGGGAGCAGCTTTCCTGTTTGTTTGTTTGTTCCTTTTTCCTTGCCATGATTGCAGAGAGGAAGGAATCCGGCTCCTACCTCCCTGAAGACCTCGGGCTTGGAGAGCAATTACTCAGCACTGCAGGCTCTGGTGGAGAATTAAAGGTCAGGGCACTTTTACTGGGGGTTTTTATTCTGGGCTTGCACGAGGTCACAGCTGATGATAAGCACATGTTCAAATCCACGTTTCCAAAGCAGTTCATAGTCCTGAAAGTGGCTGTGAAAATCCAAGACAGCGTTTTTAACCCTCTCTTTTCTCCTGATTTTAGGGAGGAAAAAGCCTTTGGAGCCAAATCCCAGTGAGACAGAGGGAGGGTGGTGGTGGGACCTCTCCCTCAGGGGTTGTGCTTTTGGGTTTTTTAACAAAAACTCCCCCGAGCTGCCTCTCTCCTGGAGGTGTTGGCTTCTTTGGGGCCCTGGGGGATTCAATGTGCTCCTCAGCTATTTCTGAAAAGCAGCTCTGACCTTGGCTTGGCACGGGCTGGAACTGCAGAGGCTGGAGCCTCCAGCTGCTTCCTACCAAACCTCCTTTTCTCCAGCCACCAATTATCCCAGGGGAATTCCCTGCCTGACCATCCTGGGGCATTTCCATCCTGACCATCCTGGGGCATTCCCTGCCTGGAGCAGGATCCCACCTGTCCTCATCCCACCATGCCCGAGGTCAGATGAGGCTTTCCCCCCAGGATCTTGCTGGGGGTGGAATTCTGGCTCCGTGGAGCTGGAAATGAGCTGTTGGAGGAGGGCTGGCAGGGGGCTGGGGCAGCCTCTGCCTCTCCTGACCCTGGAATGCTGCACTTCCAGCGCTGATGGATGGCCCAGCCTGACGGAGCCCCGGCCTGAGCTCAGCCAGATGTGAGATTAATTTATTGCACCTGTCCAAACAGAAAATATTCCTATTTTCTTGAGTTCCAGTGCCACGCTCAGGTGACCTTGGCCCAGCCTGGTGGGTCTGTCCCCCCTGTGGGTGAGGGAACACCAAGCATCATTCGTAATCCAAAGATGAAACAAGGCAGAAAATCCAGGTCCTTGGAGCAGGAGGATGAGCTGGGGTGTGCAGGGGGAAAAAAAATCCAAGCTCTGCTTCAGCTGCATGAGGAACAGCAGCAGCACAGTTTGTGTTTTAATTAATAAGGCAATAATTTGGCGTGGAGCATCTCAATGCGGCTGACTGCACGCTGCAGCATCGCGTCCTGCGGCCGGAGAGCAGCAGGGAAAGCTTCCAGCTGGAAGGATGGTTTGGAGGAAAACTCCAGCCCAGGGCAGGAGGGATCTGCAGCCACCAGCAAGCGCTGGGCCAAAGCTGAGACTTCAAATTCCCAGCGAGTTCAGTGGGAATCCTGCCTGATTAAAGCTTGAGCCGCAGTCCAGGAATTTCTGTCTCTGCCTCAATCCAGCCAGGCTTTGCGCAGGAGCTTGGGAGCAATCTGTTCCCCTTGATGGAGGCTTTTCTTGGAGAGAATTCAAGTTTATTCCATTAGAAAGGGGTTTAGTCTTCCCTTTTTATGGTGGTGGGAAAGAAAAACCACTGGGTTGTCCCTGAGCTGGGGCAGCTCAGATCTCACTTGGTTTTAACCTTCTCTTCCAAAGGGAAAAGCTGCTAAAGGACTTTAGACTTGAGAAAGGCCTTTACACTTGAGAAAGGACTTTAGACTTGAGAAAGGAGCATTAGAAATTGTTGTTCCTATAATGAGGGCCAAAGGATCTCGGGGAAGTGAAATAGGATCATAATTAGGTGGGCACCTTCCTTTTGCCGGGTCAAGAAATTGGATAATTCAGCTGGAATTTCAAAGGGAAGAGCAATTGGAGGAAGATGAACTTCTGACCCTGTAATTACAAATCAGAGCTTGGCCAGAAGGTGGGTGGCATCCTGCCCAAAATGACATGACAAAAATAAGAATCAAAAGGGCTGAAAACCACTGAACATGGTCTGAAATAACTCAGTCTTTAGGAATTAAAAAAAAAAAAAAAGAAAAAAAAAAAACAAGGAAGATTTTTATTAAGAGAGATAGGGAGAATCATAAGGAAAAGTGAAAACCACCTGCCAATAGAAAGAAAACAAGATCTTGGTGATAGCTGAGGGGATTTTTCCTGGGGTGTTGCAGGCAGTGCCACATCCACACATTTTTTTGGCATTTTCGGGATGGAGACTCCCTGTGCCAAAGCAAAGAAATTTTTCCTGACTTCAAGGAAAATGTGGGAATGGGAGGTAAATGACAATAGACATGATGTCCTAACATTGTCTGCTTGCTGGTTTGGGTGCTTTTCTGGATGGTGGGGTCAGGGCAGGTTCTTTTGGGGGGATTTTGGGGGTGCAGACACCTCCAAGCTCCCCTCATCCCTGGGGACATCCCACCCTGCCCTACCAGCTGCTTTTCCAGCAGGAAAACCAGAAGCTGGAAGGAAAAAAACCTCTCAGCCCCCAAAGCAAAGGCCCTGCCTTTGTCACCAGCCCTCCTTGCACAAAGCTCACTTTATTTTCTCCCCAGCATTCAGGTCTCTGTCTAAAGAAAACACAGAAAACATTCAGAGACAATTTTTTTTCCCTCTGCTTTGTTTATCAGCAAGATTAAGATTCCTGGCTGTGGAAGAAAGGAATATCTCCATTTATTTGTTTCAGGGCATGTGGAGAGCATTTGTTTCCTAGGATGCAAATTCATTGTTCCTGCTCTGAATGAAAGCCCCGGTGCCAAGAGCTGCCGTCGGATTGGGATCTCTTGGCACCGTTGTCTCTGGAACTCCACGCTCAGAGCAGGGATTTGAGTCCTCCCAATATTCTACCACTGGAAAAGCTTTCCCAGTTTAATTCTTAAGCTTTCTTTCAGATGATTTCCCTTTGGTAAAATCCCACCACGCCTCAGAGTGGGATTTTGGGATGTGGATCACGCCAGCAGCCCTGGGGTGCTGCACCAGCTGCCTGCACCACCAAAAAAGACAAAATTGGGCATTCAAATGCGATTGGCTGCACTTCCTAATTCCACTTTTTGTTTATTTCTCTCCCTCACGATTTTTTAAAATTAGGATGTACACACACACACACACATCCCGAAGTGCAGCTGTGGCTCCAAGCGCCACCAGGCAAAGCTGCAGTGTGAAATTCCATGGGATGACCCCCCCAGCTCCCTGTTTGTCCCCAGGGTGGGCAGAGCCCTGTCCCCAGCCCAGCTCAGGGGCTGCCACCTCCCATTAGCTGCAGCAGGGGATGCAAGTTGTGACATGGCTGTGCCTGACATGCCATGTCACCCTGGGAGATAATGACTTGGAAATTTGTGCTAATAATTGTTTTGACTGTTCCCCCGGAATGAGTGGGTTTGGTTCAGTTTTATTTTTTCTTCTTTTTTTTTTTTTTTCCAGCAGATGTCTTGCACTTAAAGTGGTTTTACTAGGGAATTGTTATTTTTTCACACCAAAAAAAATAGTTGTTCCAGCTGGAGGTTGGGAGGTGGGATTGACATCCCTGCAGCCCCTCGGGATGGCTCTCCAGGGAAGATTTCACACCAATTCCAACCCCTTGTAACCAAACCCTGCTGCCCAGACACCGTCACCTTCCTCAGGACCACGACTCTGATGCCTTCACCACTGAGTAAAGGAATTTTATCGTGAATATCCATGGCAGGATTCGTGTCCAGAGAGGAACAATGGAGCTGGGGAAGGGGCTGGAGCACCAGGAGCAGCTGAGGGAGATGGGAAAGGCTCAGGGTGGAGCAAAGGAGGATCCAGAAGGGAAAACTCTGCATCAAAGCCTTCCTCAGACTCTACTCACTTTTTCTCCTCTCACATTTTCTCCCTTTTTGATTTTCCCCTCATGGCAGGAGAGGCCCTGAAGGGAACAGAGCTGGGAAAGAGCTGGGGAATTCCTGAGGGAGCCGGGAAGGGGCTGCAGAATCCCTGAGGGAGCCGGGAAGGGGCTGGGGAATCCCTGAGGGAGCCGGGAAGGGGCTGGGGAATCCCTGAGGGAGCTGGGAAGGGGCTCAGCCTGGAGCACAGGAGGATCCCCAGGGATCTTTTCCCTCTCTGGAATTCCCTGCCAGGAGGGCACAGCCGGGGGTCGGGCTCTGCTCCCAGGGAACAGGGACAGGAGCAGAGGGAACAGCCTTGGGAGCTCAGGGGGGATTTTGGGGAAATTCCTTCATGGAAAGCGTTTTCCAACCCAGGCCAGCGGTGAAGTCCCAGATGTTGTGAGCAAGGAGTGCCAGGTTTGCAGTGGAAATACCTGGCTGTGCTTCTGCAGTGCCCTGGGCCTGGGCTGAGAAACCTCCTTGTCCTCTGCTCCCGGGGCATCCCGAGGGTTTTCCAGCCATCCAAACCCCCTCATGTGGGCAACCCTCATCCTGAAAACCAGCACATCTGGGATCACATCCCAGTTTGGCCAGGCTTTCCCAGCAGGACAGGATCTCTCCCCAGGCCCACAAGAAGGCCCCTCCCTTACACAATCACAGAATCCTTTAGGATGGGAAAGATCTTTAAGATTTGGGTTTGGAAAAAGAAAAAACCCAAGAAAAACACCAGGAAAAAAATCTAATTACTTGGAAAAATTACAGCAAAGTTAGTTAAATGGTTTGGTTTCCTCCCAAGCAAAATCCAGCAGGAATTTCTGGCCACACTCTGCCTCACAGAGCTGCAACAGCACCTAAATATCAGGATGTTCCCCTTCTTTGGAGAACAACACTCCAGAGCTTTGTGGTCATGTTTCCTGGAAAAACCAATCCTCTCCTCCCTAAAAAAAACCTCAGTTTATATTAAAAAACCCAGTTTATATAAAAGAAATAAATTAATTTAGCAGCACTGAAGCCCATTTCAATTTGACTTGTGAATTTAGCTCTGTATAGACATTTATATTATTAAATAGAGTGCAAAGCCTTAATTAAATAAACTTTAGTTCTTGCTACAGGATTTTATCAGGGAAACCCAAACAGTCCCTTCTGACATCATTCAACTTCTCCCTCTTTCTTTCTCTTTTCCTTGTCAAAATATTCATCCCAACTGGCACGTTCTCCCTGAGTATTTAGATTTTTGCAGACATTTTTACAACCTATTTGCATTTTTGTGGAAAAACTCTCCCATCTGTTTATTTCCCACTTGCAACTGGCTGGGATGACTGGAATTGGAGAGATCAGGAAAGACCCCGGGGTGACTTTCCCTGGGCTCAGTCCTGGTGCTTTCTCCTCAGAGACATTATTTTATCTGCTTGGAGATCCTGTCCTTGAAAACAAATTATCCACGACATCCCTATTCCACAGGATCCAGCAGGTAAAATTTGGAAAATTCCTTGCAAACCTCCAAACAAAACCCTCGCTGACAAAGGCGCTGTCGGAATCTGAGCTGCAGATGCAGCCCGAGGTGAACAGCACATTTTGCAGGAATATTGTGAATATTTTCATATCATATGGGCTGCTCTGACAAGCAGAGAGACTGTTTTCCCTTTTAAATGAAATAATAAGTAAAATTTAAAAAGCAGGGCTGCAGGAGGTTGGGTTTAGGGGGGATATTGGGAAGGAATTGTTCTCTGGGAAGGGGGTGAGGCCCTGGCACAGGGTGCCCAGCTGTCCCTGGGTCCCTGGAAGTGTCCAAGGCCAGGTTGGTGTCCAAGGACAGTGCAAGGTGTCCCTGTCCATGTTATATTTAAACTGGATCAGTTTTAGGATCCCTTCCCACCCAAACCAGTCTGGGATTCTCTGCTCCAGCATCCCAGTCCCTGCCTGTGACTGCTTCAGGCTCTGTTGCTGATTCCTTAAAAATAAACCCCATGAGGTTATCCCCCCCTTTTTCTGTAATTTATTTAGTGCCAAGCAGGAGGAATTCAGTCCCTGGAGTGCACCTGGTGTCACTTTTACCCATAAATTCCAGACTGTTTAAAATCCATGTGGATGTGGCACTTGGTGACACAGCTTAGTGGTGGCCTTGGCAGTGCTGGGGAGGAAGTTGGACTTGATAATCTTGGAGGTCTTTTCCAACCTAAACAATTCCCCAGTTCTAAATTCCTTCTCTGGGCAGTTCCCAGGGTGAATTAAGCATTGCTGGAATTGCTGGATGCTGCTGGTGCTCCACAGCCAGCTCTTGGAATTAATTCACTGTTGGAGCGTGGATCGTGCTCAGAACAGAAAAATTCCACAGTAATTAATGCAATAATATCAAAACTAAAGAGTGTGAGGTTTGTACACACAGCCAATGCTGAAAGTGGGGTCCCTCCCGATCCTGATTTTTCCCAGCATCAGGTTCCAGTGGGATGGGCTGTGCTGGACAAGCAGAGCCCCTGGGGAGCCCAAACTTCCTCCCTCCTGCTCTGAGCCCTCAGGACAATTGTGAGTCAATAACCTTTTCCTGAAACCACTTTATACTCAAGCGTTATTTTTTTCCTCTGGCATTGTTCCTTCTTTCCCAGGGGAAATGTCCAAGCCCTTATTGCTCGTCAGGAGGTCACTGGGAACGATGTTATCACTCCACGGGGTCCCAGCACTGGCTGCAGGTGAGCATGAGCACAGCACATCTGGAGCACTTTAACATCTGTATCTGCATCTAGACCCCTCATGGGGCAGAGAAAAAGAAAAAACACCAAAAAGCCACTTGCAAGGACTAATCCAGGAAAAACAAAAAACTAAAACAAGGTTTTTACAAGAGCATGGAGTGGCAAGACAAGAGGGATGGAGTCACACTGACAGGGCAGGGCTAGATTTGTGATTAGGAGGAAATTCCTGGCTGTGAGGGAGGAAAAACCCTGGCACAGGGTGCCCAGAGGAACTGTGGCTGCCCCTGGATCCCGGGAAGTGTCCAAGGCCAGGTTGGAGCACCTGGGACAGTGGAAGGTGTCCCTGCCATGGCAAGAGTGGTATAAGAGAAGCTTTAGGGTCCATTCCAGACCAAACAGTCTGGAATTCCGATGATCTCTCTTCCCTGGGCTTTGCAGAGCCCCTTGGACAAACATTGTGGTGTGGTCCAGACCTGCTGCTGGCTGGGGAGAAGATTTTACGTCACAGAATCTTGAAATCCTTCAGGTTGGAAAGGTCATCGTGTCCAGTTGCTAAGATGTTATTTACAAATCTGTTTTCTTCACCTCAGTTACTCCATTTCAGAGAAAAGCTGATGTTTATTCACTAAAACATTAAATAAATCCAGCAGTGCCACAGTTTGTTCTCAGTTATCTTTTCACGAGGTTATTCCTATATCCATGAGTTCTCCCCTGCTATTTTCTCCCCTTCCAGACAGCAGCATCCACAGGACGGGAAGTGCTGTTGGCCCATCCCAATTTATTTTTTTGGGCATTCACAGGGGCTACAACCACTGCTTTCCACCTTTGTCTCATGGATGAATTCCCCAGGAACATCTCAGCCCTCACCAACTTGCCCCCAGCCTGGGCTCCATTTTAAACATGGAGATTTTGGTTCTCCATGAGATTTTGAGCACCCCCAGGCCAGGGGGTTGTGTGGGAAAGGACCCTCATGGCTCAGGAGACTCCTGGGATCACCCTGGGGAGTGCCAGGCTCTGACCTCAGTGCCACCCTCAGAGGGGACAGCTCTGCAGCCTGTGTCCCCTCTCCATGGGATGTCCCATGCCCAGGGAGCTCCATGGGAAGTGATCCAGCCCTCAGTGATGCAGTTTCCATAGATCCAGGCTTTGCCTCGAGCTGGACACAGGGATTTGGTGTTCCCCACTGCCCACATCCCAAACCTGCCAGGCAGGAGCTCATCCCGCATGGATGCAGAACCTGCCCTGCTCTCATTCTGGTGCCACAGGTGATATTTGGTGGGAAGATTTGAGCTTGGACACACAAGAGCTGTTGGAATTCCCTCCTTTTTCATGGATAGAGCTGCACAGCTCCGACAGCCGTATCCCGCTGCTCCCAGTTTGCCTCCCAGATCTTCTACCTTCTGGAACAACCTTCAAGAGCCTCAAACCCTCCTTCCCTTCCACTTGTGACCATTGGCATGGTGACAGCCAGCAGATAATAAAGAGCACAGCCCAAACCCTTGGAAAAGGCAGCACTGCTCCTGCTGGGAATCCTTCAATCCATAGGTTTGTCTCCAGGAGAACCCAGAGGCCTGGGAGCTGTTTGGAAAAGAGAATCCAAAACTCATCCTATCAAACCAAATTGTCAGGAAAGGATCCATTTTAGCTTGCCCCTCATTTCATGGATGTGGGAAATCCACACGCATCCCATTTACGGCTTCGAGGAAATTTCTCCTGGCGCGACCCATGCTGGACATATGGAATCCATTTTCCCTCACACCTGGCCACATATATTTGTTATGAAAGGTTCACGACTCCACAGGCTGTGTGACCTATTCCCAGGGTGATTGGAGCTAAATGTGTTTCCTGCTCTCCCAAATTCCATATAAACCGAATAAACCAATCCATAGATCCCCGGTGTAATATCCTGAGCCTACAAACACACGCAGGCAATAAGTCAGGGAGGAGGGAAAAATCCAATTGCTGCTTCCCATTAGTGAGCAGCTGTGAGGGGAAGGGAAGGAGAGCAGGAAAAACCCAGGAAATTCAGGGAACAACAGGAATTTTGTAGTTCTCAATCCCTAAAACCAGTTTCAAGCCCAGCTTCTGTTCCAGAGCTGATGGTCCATGTGGAAAAGGTGATTTTGGAGCCTCAGGGAATGGGAATGATGCTCCACGCATTGGGGGGTTCAGGTATCATTTCACTGCACTTGGATAGATAAAGGAAGCTTCTACAAAATATAAAGAGGGAATTTTTCCATGGGTGTGGGGGACTGGACAAGGGGGAAAGGTTTAAAACTGAATGAGAGGAGATTTAGATTAGAAATTGGGAATGAATTGTTCCCTGTGAGGCTGGGGAGACCCAGGGACATCTCTGGAAGAGTCCAAGGCCAGATTGGAGAAAACTGCGACAGTGGAAGGCATTGGGGGAGGAATCAGAAGAGTTCTAAAGTCCCTTCCAACCCAAACCAGTCTGGAATTCCACCATTCCATGATTCTCTGACTATCACAGCAGTGCTACAGAGGGTCAGGAAGGTCTGTTGGATGCTCTGGATAATTCCTCCTCCATCCTGCATCCTCCAGCAGGGCACAGCCACACGCTGCATCCCCATGACCTTTCCAGGGAAGCCAAGTCAGCTCCTCTTAGGATCAGCAGCTGGCATTTATGGCTGTGGTCTCTACATCCCATAAATGCAGCGCCCTGCTTGTCATCCCAGCCCTCCACCCCGCTCCAGCTCTGCTCACCTGATACACAGCACAAAAATCCACCCCAATTACAACAAAAAAAGGTCACTTTAGGGAAGGAGGGCAGAACAGGGATCAGCCCCACACTTCCCAACCCACCCCTCCTTTCCCTGGGGAAATTTTCCCTCAAGGAACCAGAGCAAGAGGTTGTGCAATGACTCTGTGCTGATGCAGCAGCACGAAATACCAAGTGAATCTCTTCCAAAAGAGTCGAGTTGGATGCCATTATTTCCTGTTGGTAGACAGAAGGAGAGTGGGAAAAACTCCTGTTTTGGGAGCCAAGCTCTGCTGAGGAGCGCGATTAGCAGATGGCGTGGAAATTAGCTCATTATTATTAATTTGCCAGGCCTTTCCCAGTTCCTGAATTGCCCTTTGGAGGTTGCAAAGCAGCGTGTGCATATGGACAAAAGGAGGCTGCTTTTGGCAGAGCAGCTAATTAAGAGCTGTGCCACCCACTCCCTGAATGGGAGCCCTTCCCACCTGCCCCATCCCGGATTTGGGATGAGCGGCGCCGGGATAATGCTCAATAGGGAGCCCCCACGCCTGGTGCTTATTAATGTGCTGATGTTTTGTGCGAAGGAGTTAATGCTGCAAAAGGCCTTTTTTTTCTGTTTCTAAGGGGTTTTTGTGGAGGTGGTTACAGCGACTGTTTAACAGCACTGAATATACCTATTTATTGGGAAATTAATTTAGGGAAAAACATGCTTCAGCACACCAAAACCTCTCCTCCATCCTCTTTCAAACTGGATTTTTTGCCTAGATTGTTGCACGTCCTTTTATTTCTTTCCAGGACAGCGCTGCCCTGTGGAGCTGAGAGAAGAATTTGGGCTGGTAGCCCAAAATTAGCTCAAAAAGAAAGGAGCTCAAAGTCTGAATTTATAGTGGCTACACAGCCTCGAGTGGAGCTGCAGTAGGACTTTTCTCTCAGCTCCTTTGTCTAAAAGCTACTGCAAATAATAATAATAATGACAATGAGATTGATTATGATAATGATGATAGTGATTATGATGATTGTTATAATAATAATAAATAATCATGGAATGGTTCGTCTGGAAAGGGATCTTAAAGGTCACCCAGTTCAAACCCCTTGCCATGGGCAGGGAAACCTTCCACTACCCCCTGTTGCTCCGTGACCCATCATCATCATCACTATCATTTCCCACACTAATATAAAATATTATTGTTGTAAATTATTCAGTATAAATGATAAATTTGTAGATTTTAAAGGGACATCTAAAGGTTGGTTAGGACCACACAAAACCATCCCTTTGGATGCCTTTTTCCTTCCTCTCCAGGAGCTTTAAGCACTAAGAAAACCCTACTTGGAAATTAGGCCCTGCAGCCCCACTCAGGCCAATTAAAGCCAGATCCCACCCTCGGCTGCTTTCCAGCGGCAGGAAAGCTGGAATTGTCATCCTCATCCAGACTGGCAGCAGCTGTGAGCCAGGGGAGGGCTGGAAGTGACACCGCCGTCGTGTCATCGCAGCGACAGCGCTAATTGCCCGCGTGGCGCGGCTCCTAATTGATTTCCTCCTCATTAACGCCGCGATGCCGCTGCAGGGATAGATCCAGGGTGAAGCACGGCGGGTCTGGAACACGGGGGGATGGGTGAGGGAAAGCTGGGCTTGGAAAGGCAGGGAAGTGGGAGAGGGAAAGTTAATTAGGGAGCTCGTGTTAACGTGGTGTCAGAGCAGGTGGTGTTGGGTTGGATCAGGGGATGCCCCTTGAGTCACAGAAGGTTTGGGGTGGAAGGGACCTTAAAACTCATTCCATTCCACCCCTGCCATGGCAAGTTCACCTTCCACTGTCCCACGTTGTTCCAACCCAGCCTTGGACACTTCCAGGGATCCAGGGATAGCCACAGCTTCTCTGGGAAGTCCACTCCAGGGCCTCTCACACAGCCAAGAACTCCTTCCCAATATCAAATTGAGATCTCCTCTCCATTTCAAACCATTTCCCTCTGTCCTGCCACCATCTGCCTGTGTAAAAATTCCTTCTTCAGCTCCTCCTGCTGCAAAAGCCTGGCAAGGAAATGTCAGGTAACCTGGGAAACCTCCCACCCTCACAGCCAGGAATTCCTTCCCAATATCCCATCTAATCCTGCCCTCTCTCAGCAAGAAGCCATTCCCCCTTATCCTATCACTCCTTTTTCCAAAACCCCTGTCCAGCTTTCAATATTTCCCCCATTTTCCCCTATTTTTCCCTCTTTTCTCTATTTGTTTGGAGTTTTGAGCGCGCACGGAATCCCTAGGAAAAGCCGCCGTGACGTTTCCCTGGGCACCAGGGGCTGCGCGGTTCCATGGCATCCTCCAGACGGAAATCCTCGGAGCAGCTACAATGTGCTTTGTAATTAGAGTTAATTAACACTTCTGCAAATTGGTCTTTATTTAAGACCAGCTGCCGAGGCGGGAAAAAAAAAGTCTATCAGCCCATAAAATATTAATTAGCACAAGTGTCTCGTCTGCTACCGCTGGGCTGTGCGAGGATGGGAGCTGGGCAAAGGGAGCTTTGTTTCCTTGGATAAAGAAAAGAGTTTGGGAGCAGGAATTTGAAATTAATAAATTCAGATTTCATTCCTGAGCCCCCACACACGTCACAGGTAGAGGGACAAAGTCTTGTCCCCTAAAACACAGCCCAGCAGCCTGGAAATGCGTTTGGAAGTGCAAGGGAGGGGATGTGGGGAGGAATAAAAATGAAATTTCATCCACAAATCAATTGTGGGAGAGCCCAGTGATTTAATCACAGAATCATGGAATGGTTTGGGATGGAAGGGACCTTAAAGCTCAAAATTCCAACCCTTGCCATGCCACTGTCCCAGGCTGTTCCAAGCACCATTCAAGCTGGACTTAGACACTTCCAGGGATGTGATGATGTGAAAAACTCTTCCAAATTAATCTCCCCTTTCCCTCCAGCACCTCCTTCCTCTGGGATTTTCCCTACTTCCTTCTCTCCATTGTTTTTTCTGTTTAAACCCACCCAAAACCTTCATGACAAATACTCTTTCAAACAAAGATTTTTTTCCCCAAACTTTCCTGCTTGTGGGATTTTGTGCCGAGGCCACAGCGGGGCAGATTCCTGCACGGCTCCGCTCCACTCTGACTGAATTAGGTCAGGGGCTTCTCCAGGCTATAACCATCTTCAAATTATGTGACAGAAACAAATGGGAAATAGTTAAAGTTAAGGCTCTGCAAGTACATTTATTCAGCATAAAGATGGGATCACTTGGAGTTTATATCTGCTTGCTAAAAATTCCTGTAAGGAGCTTGGTGAGGGATGAAAAAATCGGATAAAATGGTTTTTTTCTCCCATTCTGTGGAATCTGGATTGGTGCTCACGCCCAGAAAAACCAGCCTGGAGTTTGCAGGGAAAAAAAAAATAAAGCAACTCCAGAAACAAATAGCTGCAGGGAAGGAAAACTGAAATGTAAAAATATCCCAATTTCAATGGAATTTTTCAACCCGGGTTTGCAGTGAATTCCCTTGAAAATGTGTCAAAGCTGCAAGGAGGCCATTAACCATTCCTGGTGGATCCAGTGAAGAGCTCCAGCAAGAAAACCATTTCTTTGCAAAAGGAAAAAAAAACTATGTAATTCCAGTTTAAAGCCTGGATGTTGCTTATGTTGTATTTTTATTTTGTTTTCCAGCATAAACTCAGGAAAAGTTTAGAGGATTAAAACTGAGCTAAGCTGAAACCAACACCAAGGTGGAATTTTGTCTTGGGGTTTTTTTACCTTTCCTGATAATTTGACAAAGAATAAGCCATTTTCTTTAATTTTGCCCTCAATAAATTACTATGAAATACAAAATTAATAAGAAATAAATGAGAAATGCTGAATATGAAAGGTCAGATATAAGAGGAGCAGTTGTTTGCAGTGGTGTCACCCCACAGCCCATGCTGGGCTCTGTTTTCCAGCACGAGGTGCTCACCCTTGACCTATGTGTGCCCTGCTCCCAATTTTCCATCCATTTACGAATCCGTTTTCCATGGAATATTTGGTTCCAGCAGCTCAGGGTGCTGCTCAGTGGAAGACAGGACTGGAGACACCTCCAGGCCCCCGAGGAGAGTTGGATGCACCCATGGTCAATCCAAAATGTTGGAGTCACGCACCCTGAGGGTGATCCTTCATCACCTGGAGGAAGGAAATGAA